GGTGCTGTTCTCTCCTGACCTCCACACACACCTAACCTGCCAAGAAGGGTGTAAATAGTGGAGCAGGAATATTGGCTGATTTACCGTCTCCAACCCAAATGCACTGATAAGAATTATAGCCCCAACCGCTGCTCCAAGAGATCAGTAACTCAAAACACATCAGAACCTTCTGGTCTGTGTAACTCACTGCTGCTTTGGGTGGGGGCACGGAGAACTTATGTCAGTCCTCTACCAGTGCAACATTCTAGTTGGCAGCATTGTGCAGTTTTGCTTAATGAGTTGATCCAACACCATCAGCATCCAAGGCTGCACTCTCCACCTCTTAAAGTCAGTCAGGACCCTCGGGGTTCTGTGCGACCCTGAGCTGTCCTTTCTTCCCCACATCGGCGCCACAACTGCCACCGCCTTCCACCACCTCCGGAACATCGCCAGACTGCGGCACTACCTCACCCCTCACGCTACTGAAACTCTGGTCCACACCTTTATCACCTCAAAGCTGGACTACGGGAACTCTCTCCTCGCCGGCCTTCCCGGCCCTCCCTCCACACTGCAGGTCATTCAGAACTCTGCAGCCCGTGTACTGTCCCGCACCAGACACCGCGACCACATCACTCCCACCCTCGCCCTCACCCTCGCTCCCCTCCACTGTCTCCCCATCCCCCAGAGGATCAATTTCAAGATCCTCATCCTCACCTACAAGGCCATTCACGGCCTCGCTCCCCCCTACCTCTCCAACCTATTATCCCCCTACTTACCTGCCCGTACCCTCCGTTCCTCTGGCTCTGGTCTGCTCCACATCCCCCGCCCCAACCGCCCTACCATCGGTGGCCGGGCCTTCAGCCTCTCAGCCCCGAGGATCTGGAACTCCATCCCCCAGTGCCTTCGCCGCCTCCTCCCTTTCCTCCTTCAAGGCCGGTCTCAAGACCTTTCTCTTTGACAGTGCCTTCAGCTCCCCTCTCGACTCTCTACCCCCTCCTCGCTCGCTCCCTTCCCTCCCCTCACCATTTCCCCCCAATGCTCGGGTCCCAACCCAACTGTCCAGCGCTTTGGGACGTCCTCCTGATGTGAAAGGCGCTCTATAAATGAAATCTTGTTGTTGTAGAAATCTTGCTTTTAAGTACAACAGCAACTTTCATTTATATAGCACTCTTCACACGGGATAGCGTCTCGGAGCACTGCACAGTGGTAGGTTTGGACCCTAACCAAGTGAGAAGGAGGGGAGAGAGGTGATTGTAGGCACAGTAAGAGATTTAAAGGTAGTTAAGGAGCGGCGAGCCAGAAGGATCGAGGCGCCTTGGGACGTCCTCCTGACGTGAAAGGCGCTTTATAAATGGAATCTTGTTGTTGTTGTTGTTGAGGCAGGGCATTCCAGAGTTTAGTGGTGTAGTGACTGAAGGCACAGTCACTGAAGGTGGGGTGGAAGGGTTGGGGGGCAGGCAGAGCAGTGGGGTACGAGCAGGTTAGAGAGTTAGGGAGGTATCAGCAATTCTTTGAACCTCACTCGGACACAAGGAAAGTATGTCACATGGCTTCCCACTGTTCCCAAAAACAAATTTCTGGCTAATGTTTGGAAAACGCTGACTCTAATATTCCATAGACTTTGTCCACAAACAAAGCTCTGATACATGAATGTTCTTTAATAATCGGACAATTGTGGGAAACACTTAATTTCTGTCTAATAATCATATCTGCACACAATGGGGATTGTGTGAGGCAGTGCTGGCGAAACGATCAGTGCTTAACCTCAGCTATAATAATAGTAATCCTTGCATTTGATACAGCGCCTGATCACGTCTTCGAGACGTCTCAAAGCGCTTCACAGAATATACTGCAATGTGAATTGACTGTGTATTTTGTGGGCGAAACGGGGAAGCCAATTGCGCACAGCAGTGTCCCACAAACAGTCGTGGATTGAGTGACCAAATTATTATTATTTTTTAAAGGGATTATTACTCCCAGAAAGCAATTCACCAAACAATTAACAACCGGTTCCTACTTGCTGTTAGGTAAACCTGAGGCGTGCGTTTACAAATGCCTCTGTGTAAGCACACGTTGTGTTCTATGGTCCATGCTGTGGAAGTGTTTAACCCCAACTGTGTGTCTGTGGGTTCCCAGTGCACAGTAACTCATGTGATCTCCATAGGCTGAGTCCCTGACCTTAGACATTACACCAGGCTCTCGCCCCTAATCCACCGCAGTACAGTTGATATGATATCACCACCCGCCCTCCTCCTTGTCTGGGAAAGACTGGCACAATCTGCTGTCTGGGAACATGGTGAGAAGTTACAGTAAGGTGGAGTGGTGGGAAAGTGGACGCCACAGAAAGAGCTTCCCTACCAGCAACAGAGAGTCCTCCCAGCAAGACTGAAAGCTCTGGGACTGTTACAAGCTCCCAATTGTTACTACTTTAAACTTAAACCTTTGAACATTCACATCCACATTCACACGCTTCTTGTTGTTTAACGAGACAATGTGACACAGGTCAATCGTAAACAACGCTTGGATTCCACTTGTGTTACACCTCTCAGGCTTGTCACAGGTGGCCAGAGAGGTTTGGAGTCCCTCTGTCACTCCCTCTCACCCATTCCAGCCCCAACCCCACGGCAGCACAAATCCCGGCCCAACCCCAGGCTCAACAAAGTCCTCATCAACACCTGAACCGTGAGAGCAGTCTGTGCTCACACAGGACACCCCTGAACTTCCAGCCCCAGCTTTCTCTTCTAGGCCAAGGGAATGTCGCTCTAACTCCAAATAAGCAGTGTTAATATTGGGATTCCTCTAATTTTGGGAGTTATAGTCTACTTTCCCACGGGCTTGTCACCGAGCCCCCATCAGCTGTTCTGAAGGATGGAGGCCTGAATCAGAGGCCAGGTGCCTGGTTATTTATAATAAAAATAATCCTTGCATTCGGTATAGCACCTTATCACATTGGAGGGACGTCTCAAAACTCTCCACAGGGTCTAATATAAAATGGAGTGACTGTGTATTTATAGGCAAATGCGGCAGCACAATTGCACACAGCAATGTCCCACAAATATCCATGAAACGAGTCACCAGTTTTATTCTGCGTACACAGAGAGCTGTATTGTAATGAAAGATTTCCATCAGCTTCAACAGCAACAACAACAAAATTACATTTGTATAGTGTCTTTCATGTCGGGAGGACGTCCCAAGGTGCTGTACAGACAGAGTTACGGAGCCGAGCTGAGGGTCAGGGTGGGGGAGGGGGGGGAGTTTAAGGGGGGAAGCAAGGAGATCAAAAGCATGGTCAAAGAGGAGGGTCTTGAGGCGGGTCTTGAAGGTGGCAAGGGAGGGGGCGAGACTGAGGGACTGCGGGATGGAGTTCCAGAGGGTGGGTGCAGAGAGGTGGAAGGCCCGCCCGCCGATAGTGGGGTGAGCAAGGCAGGGGACGTGAAGAAGGCCAGAACCAGCTGAGCAGAGGGAACAAACAGGGTGGTAAGGGGTGGAGGGAGAGGTAGGGGGAGCAAGACCGTGGAGAGCTTTGAAGGTGAGGACCAGGATCTTGAATTGTATCCTCTGTGTGATGGGAAGCCAGTGGAGTCGGGCGAGGATGGGGATGATAGGGTCATGGAGCATAGTGCGGGAGAGGACACGGGCTGCAGCCCATGGAGGGAGGAGTTGGGGAGGCCAACAAGCAGTGAGTTTGCATAGTCAAGCCTCAATGTAATGAAAGCGTGTATGAGGGTTTCGCACTCTCTGCTGGACTCCCTATGCAGACACAGCTGTCCTGGCAACCCAGTAACTCGGGAAGCAGATGGGATCGAGTTGAGCTCAGGGGATGTGGTGTGAAGTGATTGCTGATTAATTGTCTGTATCATGTTGAGGGAAGTGGTAGTGTGTGACTCTCAAACAACAGGTGCATCAACCATTTTCTTGACTGTCCGCCTTGTGGGGGAGGTAAGTTGGGGGCTTCTAGGAACTGAATTGGTTCCAAGGTGATGTGGTTGGCAATGGAATGTCAGAATGGAGTCAACCATTTGTGGCAGTTATGTTAGTACGTTCCTAAGCCAGGCAGGTCTACAGTACTGCTGAGGACAGACCAGTCAGTCTGGCACCTGTTAACTCTGCAAACCAAAGCCCTAACAGTCCTAGTTGGACAAGCACTGGGAAGCTGGCCAGATTGTGCTTTCATTGTCAAGCTATGTGGTTTTAGTTGGTGAAATTCCAGGACATTCTGGAGTTCCTTTGCTCCTACCAACCAGTGCCTAATACTCTGAGAGTCTCTCCAGGTAGAGAGTCCATACTCCATTCCAGAATCAATGCATGTGTCACAATTACCCAGTTACACAAGGTGTGTGTTACACAATGGCAAACTGCTTCATTTGCACAATGATTCACACATCTGACAAGGAGCGATGTGTCCAAATGATAACGTAACTGCGGAAATCTCACAATGTAGGAGCTGTCTTTCTACCGTCGAAGGCAGGGTTTGCAGATACAACAGCGTGAAAATTCAGTGTTTCTGTAACAATAATAAGAATAATACTTGCGTTTGATATAGGACCTTTCAATTTAGGAGGACGTCTCAAAGTGCTTCACAAGATTTACTGTAAGGTTTAGTGACTTATTTTGTAGCAGCCACTTTGCTCCCAGCAACGTCCCACAAACAGCCACAAAGTGAATAAACAAGGGTATTTTGAGGATTGTCGGCCAGGTCACCAGGTGACATCTTTTAGATGTCTCAAAGCACTTCACAGAATATACTGTGCAGTGAATTGACTGTATTTTGTGGGCGAAACGCAGCAACCAATTGCGCACAGCAACGTCCCCACAAACAGTCGTGGTTTGAGTGACCAAATTATTATTATTTTAGTATTTTTTAAGGGATTATTATCCCCAGAAAAGCGATTCGCCAATCAACTAACAACCGGGTTCCTACTTACTGCTAAATAAACAGGAGTGTGTGGAGTCAGGAAACTTGCCCAATGTTTCGCCCTGCCTTAGGCAGGCAACCATGGCTTAATGTGTCATCCAAAGAAATGGCACCTCCGAGCACTACACTGGAGTGGCAGCAACAGACTGTACGAGTTCAAAGTCCTGGCATACAGCCTGAACCCACAGTCTTCTAACTCAGAGGCGAGAGTGTTATTAACTGAGTCAACAACTAAGAGGAAAGTGATTGGGTGATTGTCTCAATTGATTTGAAATGTGCCTTTCCTTCCAGTTACCATTTCAAACGACCTGGTTTCCTGCCGTTGGGGAAGAAACCCGTCTGATTAGTACACACTCCTTCACTGGGCATTGTATCCCAGTCTCACCTCTGAGCTCATCCATCGGACGTGTCCAGCCATTGTGTCAAGTCCTGGACCCATTCGGGTGGGTTCTGTGGTGTGACAAAGACAGGAATATATTGTGGTAGTACTGCCTGTGCCTGAGCTGGAGGAGATGTTATCATGTTATGTCACACAGTCTGGGAAGAATGTTACTCTGATAATTTTGCCAGCAGATGTATTTGTTTATTTGTACCTTGTCCTTGTGCTACTGGCTGGTGCCCAGGGCTGAGAGCAGCCTCGGTGGGAGGGGAGGGAGGGGGGGATCTGCACCGTTTGTAACCCATTGCATTGGCATTGCTATTGCTATTGAGGGACGAAGGAGTGAACTCGCCAGCGTGACACAGGCAGGAACCGCTCTGGATTTTCACAGCTCAAACAAAGCAGCGGAGTGCTGGAGGCAGCGAGTTTAGGAACCGACTTATTTTTATTATTAATCATCCACACTTTGTTTCGGTATTGCCGTCCTCGCCTGTTCAGCTTACACTGCAGTTTGAGCCAAGGACAGAGATAAGCAGGAGGTCTCCCCCCCCCCCCCCCCCCCCCCCCGCACCCCCCCCCCCGCACCCCCCCCCCCGCACCCCCCGCCCCCCCCCCCGCACCCCCCGCCCCCCCCGCCCCCCCCCCCCCGCACCCCCCCCCCCCCCCGCACCCCCCCCCCCCCCCGCCCCCGGCTCTGTATCTGCGCTCGTCACAGCCGACGGCTCTCGCTGTCGGACTCAGAAGGTTATGGGTTCAATTCATTCACACGTGGGATTCGGAATCAATGGTTCTCACTGTGTGGGGGAGGAACTGATACAACACAATTTACACTTATGCAGCGCCTTTCTCAACCGGAGGTTAAATAATCCCCACATTTGGTATAGCGCCGCATCACGTCTTTGAGACGTCTCAAAGCGCTTCACAGAATATCCTGTGTGTACTTTGTGGGCGAAACGCGGCACCAATCGCGCACAGCGGTGTCGCGCAAACAGTCGGGGACTGAGTGACCACATTATTATTTTTTTGAAGGAATTGTTATCCCCAGAAACTCGATCCACCGATCAGCTCACGAACTCCGCCCGGAACAGAGCGCAGGTCCTCTCCCCTCCGGGAGAGAGCCGCAGCCACTGGGAAACAGGACTGCACCGGCTCGGGGGCAATCAATAAATACTGCGCTGTGGCCGCCGGTGGCCGCGGGGAGGCGCTGTGGCCGCTGTGGCCGCGGGGCGGCGCTGTGGCCGCTGGTGGCCGCGGGGAGGCGCTGTGGCCGCGGGGCGGCGCTGTGGCCGCTGGTGGCCGCGGGGAGGCGCTGTGGCCGCGGGGCGGCGCTGTGGCCGCGGGGAGGCGCTGTGGCCGCTGTGGCCGCGGGGAGGCGCTGTGGCCGCGGGGAGGCGCTGTGGCCGCGGGGAGGCGCTGTGGCCGCGGGGCGGCGCTGTGGCCGCGGGGAGGCGCTGTGGCCGCGGGGCGGCGCTGTGGCCGCGGGGCGGCGCTGTGGCTGTGGTCGGGAGAGCGGCGCCGCGGTGCGGGACATGTTTCGGGCCGCGGGAGCGCTGCTGCTCCGGGTCTCGGGCCGCGGCTCCGGCTGTTTGATACCCGCGGCCCGAGCCAACGGGCGGCGGCGGCGGCGGAGGGGAACCGCTGGGAGAGGAGCGGGAGGAGCGGGAGGAGCGGGGCCCGGGTCGGGCCGCACGGAGGTGAGAGCGGAGCCGCGGCCCCGGAGTGAGGACCGGAGGCCCAGAGATACACCACAACTCCGGATACCGCGCGTGTCCCCCCCACCCCCTGTGTGGGGGGGTGTGGGGGTGTGGGGGGGGTGTGGGGGGTGTGTGTGTGAGGGGGGTGTGTGGGGGTGGGGTGTGGGGGGTGTGGGGTCACCTCTCCCCCGGGGCTCAGCGCTCGGAGACACCGCCCACGTCCAGAGTGGCCGCTCCCGGTCACACACGTCAGGTCACTGGAAGGATGAGGTCGAACGGCCACAAAGTTCATCTCTCTGCGCCCCTCCTCCCCCCCCACACCCCCCACACACACCCCCACACACACACCCACACACACCCACACACACACCCACACACACACACACACACCCCCACACACACACACACCCACACACCCCCACACACACACCCACACACACACCCACACACACACCCACACACACCCCCACACACACACACACACACACCCACACACACCCACACACACACACACCCACACACACACACCCCCACACACACACCCACACACACACCCACACACACACCCATACACACCCCCACACACACACACACACACCCCCACACACACACACCCACACACACACCCACACCCACCCCCACACACACCCCCACACACACACACACACACCCCCACAAACACCCCCACACACACCCCCACACACACCCACACACACACACACCCCCACACACCCCCCACACACACACCCCCACACACACACCCACACACACACACACACACCCCCCCACACACACCCTCACACACACACCCCCTCACACCCACCCCCCGCACACCCCCCCCCACACCCTCCCTGATCCTGACCCCCAGGTCGGGTCTGAAGCACTATCTGTTCCAGCGCCTCAGGACGTCCGAGCCTTCGGTCGCCCTCCCACCTCTCTGCCTTCCCTCCCCCCCCATCCCCCCTCCCCCCTCCCCCACCCCTCCCCCCTCCCCAGGGTTGGGATGAGGGAGGGCAGAGGGGGTAGGAGGTGGCTGAAGGCACGGTCGAAAAGGAGGGTCTTTTGAGTCGTGCCTTGAAGGAGGCAATGGAGGGAGTGAGGCGAAGCGATCCTGGGATGGCGTTCCAAAGAGTGGGTGGAGAGAGGCGGAAAGCCCGGCCGCCGATGGTAAGGCAGGTCGGGCGGGAGACCCGGAGCAGGTCGGAGCCTGCAGAATGGAGGGAACGGACAGGTTGATAGGGGGTCAGAGAGGGAGGAGGGGGCAAGGCCGTGGGGGATCTTGAAAGTGAACAACAGGGTAGCGTCCCAGATTGCTTGACAGTGGCGAAGCACGATTCCGAGCCGGCGGAGGGGGGGGTGACCATAGGTACGGTCGAAGAGGAAGATCTTTACGTGCGACGGGAAGATGGGGAAGGAAGGGCCGAGGCGAAGGGATAGAGGAAGAGGGTTCCATTGTTTCGGGGCGTAGTGTCTGAAAGTGCTGGACACCAATGGTGGAACAGAGAGCGCTAGGGACATGCAGGAGGCCGGAGCCAGTCAGCGGATGGTAACACTGCAAGTGACCTTCTGTATTCAGCCGAGTCACCCAAAACCATCTGTCAGGTGCTGCACAGTTTGTTACCGTTTTCTGGTGGAGTTGTGCATCACGGTATGTAACACAGACATTGTGAAGATCTTCGGTCTCTAAGTTGGGGATGGTGTTGAACTCTATTTATGATAATAATAATAATAATACAACATTTGATAGAGCGCCTTATCATATCGTTGAGACGTCTCAAAGCGCTTTCAGGATATACTATGTATTTTGTGGGTGAAAAGCGGCATGGAGTGAGTGACCGATTTATTTGGGGGGAATTGTTGGCCGGGACAAGAGAAATCCCCTTCTCTTTTCAAATAGTGCCGCCTAACGTCCATCTAAACAGGCCGACGAGATCTCAGTTTAACGTCTCATCCGAAGGACGGCACCTCCGACAATCCAGTAACCCCCCAACACTGCAGTGGACTATGTGATTCCAAGTCCTGACGTGGGACCTAAACCCACAACTTTTTGACTCCGAAGCGAGAGCGCTACCACTGAGCCAGGCTGACACACTATTGGAGACCACTAACTCCTCTCTGCCGAGGCTGAGACACTCCAAAGTGAGCAAGTATGTTGGCTCTGATGTAGGCTGCCCTCTTGCTCCAGTGCAGGCTGAGGAGGTGCTGCCTTGTCAGAGGTGAGACATTCATCATTTCTGTCCCATCAGGTGGATGTTAAAGACCCCACGACACTATTTGAAAAGAGCACAGAGTATTTTCCCAGGTGACCTGACCAATCTCCCAGATAAAAATTGGTCCTTCGCTTCACGTCAGTTTGTGGAGTTTTCTTGTGCACAGTTTCGATGCCGCATTCATCTACAAATTACACGGTGACAACTTAAACTACATCAAATGCTAGAGCTTTGATTGTCTTCACGGGACAAGAGTAGAAAATAATCTAGAAAGATTAAAGATAAAGAAATTCGATCCTCCTCCTGGAGTGAATGTGCTGTAAATACACAGTCTGACCGGTGTTTTCCTTCCAGGCAGCAATGTGGCATTGCAGACTGTTAGGAATTACGCCAGAATCGTACACAAAAAGCAAGGTATGTACCCATCAGGCAGCAGCTCTTCACCTTATCCTCTTTACACTGTAACAATCATTGCGTTCAGAATCCTGTATGTTCTTAAATGTTGATTTTTTTTTCTTGACAAACTCATGAATCCTGTTTCCAGATCCAGAATTTACCAGTCAGCTGGCGGATCTGTCCCCAGTGCTGCTGAAGAAGGATTATGCCGGCATCGAGCTTGTGAACAAGTACGTTCGTAGAAGTAATCCTTTGCTCCTTCTATTAGTGACTCCTCATGTGGCCTTCTCCACAGTGAGAGGGTCTGACAGGCAGCGTAAAGTTTGGAGTCCTGTAGGGTAGTGGTTAGAGTGCTCGTCTCGCAAGTGAGAGGACTCGGGTTCGATTTCCGGGCAGGGTGAAAGCTTAGCCAAGTTTCCTTACTCCGCACGCCTCTGTGTACCGAACAGTAAGTAGGAACCCAGTTGTTCGTCAATTGGTGGATCACTTTTCCGGCGGTAATAATCCATTCAAAAATAAATCAATAATTTGGTCACTCAATCCACGACTGTTTGGAGGACACTGCAGCGCACCATTGGCTGCCATATTTGGTCCATAAAAAACACAGTATACAGTATATTCTGTGAAGCGCCTTGAGACGTCTCAATGACTTGATAAGGCACTGTATCAAACACAAGGATTATTATTATTATAGGCATATTGTTTTCATAAAGACAAACTGTTTCAGGAAGAAAATTCCTGTCTGTAACCCATGGAATTTGATGTTTTCTTACAGTTCAGGTGATGTGGTCAGAAAGCTTCTGTCACTGGAGATGGCAAGTCATGTAAGTACCTTTGACTACGTTTAAAAATCTAACTGCAGCGACACAACACAGAGAGAAAAGGGGAATGTTGTGTGTTAGCAGGACTGGCTTTCTCTGGCGGAAAACAGCCTGTAATACAACAGGTAGTAAGATGGCTTTGTAATACAGCAGGCAGTGAGGAGATTGTAATGAGGCTCTGTGATACAACTACGTAGTACAAGGGGGAGAAGGGAAGGTGAACGCAAGCATGGTGCAAAAGATAGGCCTGAAGATGGGCTTTAAAGTCGAGGAAGTCAAATTATGAGGGATTTGATAGAATCAATAGTAAGAAATTATTTCCACGGTCTGAGTCAATGACTGGAGGGCATCTATTTAAGATAGTTAGTAAACAAGCAAATGGGGAGGTTTAGGAGAAATGTTTTCACACACAGGGAGCAGTGGGTGAGTCAGAATCCATATTTGTTTTTAGTAGGGAACTAGATAGATATCTTAAAAAGCAATACACTGCAGAGGGGTATGGGAATGGGCAGGTAAATGCGACTAAAATGATTGCTCTTTAAAAGAGCCATCACAGTTACGATGGGCTCAACGGCCTTCTGTGCTGTAAGTCTATATGGGGCGAGATGGGGGAACAGCGTATGGGATTTGAAGTTTAGGAAGAGAGTGAGAGGGAATGGTGAGGTATGGTCAAAAGGTAGGTTTTTAGGTGAGAGTTGAATACGGGCAAAGAGGTGCGAGAAGGAGAAGTAAAAGGAAAGTGTTCCACAAGTTAGATTAGTGAGAGGAGATTGTAAAAAGTAATGCAGCAAGTTCTGTGTCATAAGAGGAGATGCAGTGAAATACGAATTTGTCAATAAAATTGAAGGAAGTTGAATTTCTTTAGTCTTGGAGTAGTGTCCCATTGACAAAACGAGAAACGGGATAAGTTGGGGTTATTGTGGTTGAGTCAAGAGGTTTAAGCGATCTGAAGGGCTTACGAAACCTAAAAAGAATACTGAACCTATCCAGCAGGACTGGGGTCGTACAAGAGCGAGTCTGGGAGGTTTACAGAAGGCAGAGAACAGCAAAAGAGATCCAAAACATACTTTAGCTCTCAATAATGTGATAATAAGCAGAGTTTGTCTGTGGGACAAACTGGGATAGATGTGTGTTAGAATCAGGTGCCAGGTGTGCTAAGTGCATTATTTGCACATGGTTGGACTGCAAGGTGACTGTTGTGTAATGGAAATTATACAAAATTACATTTGTATAGCACATTTCACGTCGGGAGGACGTCCCAAGGGGCAGGAACATGAGTAATAGGAAATGGGGGAGGACTGAGTGACAGATAAGACTGATCACTACTTCAGGATCCCTAATATACAAGGAATACACAAGAGCAGGTAGTGACTTATTATGATTAGAAATAACCAAGGAATATTGGCTATTTAGTCATACAGCACAGTAAAGGTTTCTAACGATATTAAAGAGCAGGCACTATGAGGAATCAGCCCCCGATGAAATCCTGACCAGATTTTAAAGCACTGTTCGATCTTGTTTTGTTTTAAAAGAACAAGAATGAAGTGTGGACAAGAAGCTTTCACTTCTTAACCAGAGTGTATTCTTGTTCCTTCAGCCAAATGAGCTGGAGAGTTGCTTTAGTGGAATGGATGGTCAGGATTTCACCAAAACTGGTTCCTCTCGGCAGCCCGAGTTTGAACACCCTGTGCTGTAATGCTGACATTTTCTGAATGGTTCACGTTTCAGAAAGAGAAGTTGAAAGTGAAAACCGGTCAACTGATCGAGAAGGTTAGACGGACTCCCCATGACGTTGGCTCCACAGAAGTGCAGAGTAAGTGCGGGCGTTTGTGCCTCCACACACATCTCCAACAAACGAGCTCCTATATTTTGTCTTTAGCTCCTTATATTGTCCTGCCAGGCACTGCCAGAGCAAGACCGAGAGATACAAATTTGAAATTATTTTATGATATGGTAACGTTAATAAGCCACGTGTGGCACCTCAGTCATAAAATGTACAACACAGCAACAAGAAATTTTAACGTCAGTTTTTTCTCCTGAACGAGAATCGAGGAACAGACAAGGAAGTGAAACTGAATAGAATGTTCTTTCAAAGAGGCAGCACAGACACATTGGGCCAAATAGTTTCGGTGCTTATAGATTTCTATGGTTCTAATGTAATCACTCCCCCTCTCCTGCTTGTGCTCCAAACCCTTTAAAACACTCCACTTTCAGCATCTATGCTCTGCAAATAATAATCCTTGTATTTGATACAGTACCTGCAGCTCTGGCCTCCTTCGCCTCCCGGGCCTGTCCTTGAGAATTGCTGAACCTGTGCACCTGTACATAGACGTCAGGTTCGATCCTCAGCTGTCCTTCCTACCCCACATCAATCCCTAACCAGGACCCCCCACTTGCATCCACCTCCGCCACATTGCCCGCCTCCAGCTGTATCTTACCCCAAAACGCAACCGAATCTTTATCCACATTCGTCACCTCCTGCCTCGATTATTCCAATGCTCTCCTCACCGTCTCCCCAGCTCCACCATCTGTGTTATCCTCACCGCACCAAAGTCTGTACCCACATTAACCACAGTCCCTGCAGGGCTCCACTGGCTGCCTATTACAGAACGGATTGATTTCAAGATCCTCACACGCACGTACACATTACTTATGCCCTGGCACCTCCATACTTCTCCAACCTGCTTACTCCTTAATCCATGATCCACCAGCTTCTCTCCAGCCTCCTACACAGCCCTCTTTCCCCCCTCTCCACCATCGGCAGGCATGCTTTCAGCCACTACCCCCAAAAAACAACAGAACTCTCTGCCTCAAACCCTCTCCCATCTTCAAAATCACATCTGAAGACCTTCTTCTTTGACCAACAATCACCTCCTCCCCCCCTCCCCTCCACCAGCTCAGCGTCAAGTTCTGCTACTGTGCAGCGCTTCACTAATATCAGTTTCAAGAATTGTTGTTTATTTATCTAACTGCCTTTTGCAGAGTTTATGAGCTCTGCTTCACCGCCTCTGGTTTGTGGCAGAGAATTCCACATTACACCACACTGTGTGGCCATGTTTAGTGGTTTAGCTGCTCTCCAGTCACAGTGAAAAAATTTCATCTACAGATTTCACACACTCTCCAAACAGTTTCAGGTTAACACATTATTAAATACTCTCAGGATTCAGCCTCCTTCCCCCCCACCTGATTATACCCAGCCTTACTTTCTGTTCCCTTCATAGACTCGCCTTCCTACACAGGCCACAGGCCACAGGCTCTGGAACTTCATCCCCCAGTGCCTTCGCCGCTTCCTCCCTTTCCTCCTTCAAGGCCGGTCTCAAAACCTTTCTCTTTGACCGAGCCTTCAGCTCCCCTCTCGACTCTCTTCCCCCTCCTCGCTCCCTCCCTTCCCCTCCCCTCACCCTGACCATTTTCCCCCCTCCTCGCTCGCTCCCTCCCTTCCCTCCCCTCACCCTGACCATTTCCTCCCTCCTCGCTCCCTCCCCTTCCCTCCCCTCACCATTTCCCCCCTGCTCGGGTCATGACCCAACTGTGCAGCGCCTTGGGACGTCCTCCTGACGTGAAAGGCGCTTTATAAATGGAATCTTGTTGTTGTTGTTGTTGAGCAGCCAGTTGTGATTCTCCAGTGACTGACATTTCTGTGATTTATTTTACAGTCGCTATTTTAACAGCAAAGATTCGCAATTACCAGGAGCACCTCCACAAGCACACAAAGGTGAGACCATACCACCACCTCCACAGCACACTCCACACCAACCCACAGCCCCCCAGCCCACTGCCCACAGCCCCCACCCCACTGCCCACAGCCCCCCCACTACCCACAGCCCCTTCACTGTGGCCACAGGTACAAGTACAGTGATCAGAATTCCACTGCTACTGACTGATATAAACACAGCCACTGGTCGGTTCCTCCACATCTGCTTCCTTTCACTTATGAGCTGGCTCCAAAGTAATGCGCTTGGCCACGGAATGTCAGAATTGAGTCCATATTCTGCAGTGATCCCAGCAGGTCGTTATCCAGGTGGGTCCACGGTATTCCAGAAGACGCTATTTATCAAATGCAAGGATTATTACTATTATTTGGCTCCTGTTAAACCTGCAGCTGATCCCAGCAAAACACAGGAAACCTTGCCAGATAGTGGTCTTTGTGCCAAGTTCGTCAGTTACCCCAATGGACACTCAGATCCCCAATCCTTGGATCTTACCAACCTACGTCTTGTGCTCCCCAGAATTAGGCATGCAGGATGCGTTCCTCCTCCATCCCAGACATGGATATTTAATTGTATAAATCAGCCCATCGTTGGCTAACACTGGGTTATAGTGCGTCCTTTACAATGTTCCTGTTCCTCTCCCCCCCCCCCCGTGTGTGTGTGATTGACTTACAATGGGTTACATTTGTTTGACAGGACAAGGCAAACAAGCGTTACATGCTGCTCGCCATCGACCAACGCAAGAAATTGCTGAAGTACCTGCGACGCACACGCTATGAATTGTTTGAGAACGTGTGCACTCAGCTGGATATCCAGTACACATTCCCCCCCAAATATTACAGGAAAGTGACCCGGCGATGGGTTGCCAAGAAAGCTTTGTGCATAAGGGTGAGATCTCTGCCAGGCTGCTATTTTCCTGATTACATTTACTGCATAATTTAGCATTAACCCCTGTTTTTGTTGCAATTCAGCAAGGGTATTTGAAACGCTTGAGTTGTTTCTGAGCCATGGATTCCTGGGTGTGAACTGCACAGCATGCAAAATGTAGTGAAATGGTTTTAAGCGGAGAAGGGAGAGCTGCAAATCGATGTTTTTGTTTAAAGAACAAACTGTAGAACTGTGGAGTCCTGTAGCTCAGTGGTTAGAGCACTCGCTTTGCAAGTGAGAGACCTGAGTTCAATTCCAGGCAGAGGGCGAAACCTTGGGCAAGTTTCCTTACTCCACACAGAGCCAAATAATCCTCCAAAACCAAAACAATAATAAATTGGTCATTTTCAATCTACGACTGTTTGTGGGACATTGCTGTGCGCAATTGGCTGCCGCGTTCACCCACAAATATACAGTCAATTCACTTTGCAGTATATTCTGCGAAGCGCTTTGGGACGTCCTCCCGACGTGAAAAGCGCTATATCAAATGCAAGGATTATTATTATTATAGAACTGTCTGTTCACAAAGCTACCTTAAGTCATAAAACAGGGATTTTCTGTCAAAAAGTGGAAATAGTCCTTTACTCGTCCTGTAGCGTAGTGGTTAGCGAGCTTGCCTTGCAACTGAGTGGACTCGGGTTCGAAAGTGCTCCGGGACGCTACCCTGCGTCAAGGGCACTACATAAATGCAAGTTGTTGTTGTTCAATTCCCGGGTAGGGCGAATCTTACGCAACTTTCCCTGTTCCACACGCCTCTGTTTACCTAGCAGTATGTGGGAACCTGGTTGTTAGTCGATTGGCGGATCGCTTTCCGTGGATAATACTCCCTCCAAAAAAAAACAAATTCCGTCACTCAATCCAGGACTATTTGTGGGACACTGCTGTGTGTAATTCGCTGCCGCGTTTTGCCCACACAATATACAGTCAATTCCGTTTACAGTATATTCTGTGAAGCGCTTTGAGTCGTCTCAAAACGTAATATCAAATCCAAGGATTATTATTAGTAGTAATAGTAAGTGCTGTGTCATATCTGACCAGATGTTGTGTTTTGCTTTCAGGTTTTCCAGGAGGTGCAGAAGCTGCGAGCTGCTATTCGGCAGAAGGAAGCGGCAGCAAAACAGCGGGGAGATGGTCAGGTAAAGCCTGAGGAGACGCCTGTGTGACGGGCATTTCATTTACTGTGTGAGACAGACAGCGACCTCGCATGTCAGAGACTAATAAACATGTCCGTGTTTTGTATCCGAGTTTCATTTTTAATTGAAATCTCTTTGGTTAAAGATGAAACTTTAAGCTCCCTTCAGCGCGTGCAATGCCATCAACAGCAGCACTGACTCCCCATCGAGCACATAGTACAGTTACCGATGGGGAGAACAGAAGAAGCAGTTATCAGAGTTTCATCTTTTCTTGGCTTTCATTTCTTTTTCGTTCTGAAGCGCAGCAGCTACCACAGCTAGACTTATACCCACTTGCTTGTTTAGCCCTTCCTTCAACTCGGCTATCTCACAGATAACAGTTTCTCGCTTTTACCTTTTCATCCCACAAAAAGTAACTCATTAAAACATTCCTTCCACCCTGGCCAGATTGGTTAAAAACATGGACTTAGATAAGGGAACACAGCTTTGCACTAGTAAAAACAGTGACATACAATACAAAATTACATTGGTAAAGCAACTTTCATGTTGGGAGGACGTCCCAAGGTGCTGAACAGTCAGGGATTAGGACCCATGGGGGGTGGGGGGGCTGCAGAGTGGCTGGCCGAAAGCACGGTCAAAGAGGAGGGTCTTGAGACTTGCCCTGAAGGAGGCAAGGGAGGGAAGGAGTGAGGCAAAGGGAATGTGGGATTAAGTTCCAGATGGTGGGGGCAGAGAGGCTGAAGGCCCGACCGGTAATGGTGGGGCTGGCCGGGTGGGGGACATGGAGCAGGCCAGAGCCAGCTGAGCAGAGGAAGTGGACAGGTTGATAAGGGGGTTTACAGGTCAGAGAGGTAGGAGGGGGCAAGGCCATGGAGGGCCTTGAAGGTGAGAACGAGGATTTTGAATTCGATCCTCTGAGAGATGGGGAGTTGGAGCGGAACGAGGGTGGGTATGATGGGGTCACGGAGCCTGGTGCGGGAGGACACGAGCTGCAGAGTTCTGGATGATCTGCAGCTTGTGGAGGGAAGAACTGGGAAAGCCGACAAACAGGGAGTTGGTAAAGTCGAGTCTAGATGTAATGAAGGCATGTATGAGGGTTTCAACAGCCTAAGGGGTGAGGCAGTGGCGGAGTCGGGCAATGTTGCGGAGGTGGGGGAAGGCAGTGCGGGTCATGGCAAGGATGTGGGGAAGAAAGGACAGTTGAGGGTTGCAAGACGCCAAGGTTCCAGACTGGCTCGGACATGAGATGAGAAAGGACAGCTTTTTCCAATTATGACCCAAGGCTATCCCATTATCACTCACCAACACTGTTCTACTTCTCACCCAAGACATGGACCATCTCGTGGGGCAACTCTTCGCATTAACATGTCCACCCAAGCAAGGAAAGGACAACGAACAGCCATTAGGTCCATCCCAAGAAATATCATTAAATTATCAATGCAACCTCACTTGAAAACATTCCATTATCAGGTCACAGCAAGGACATTAAATAGAGAAAAGACCAACACGATTCATTCCTAGTAAGGTTACGAAAGTTATAAAGTACAATCATCAGCAAAATCTCACTTGAAGGTTAAATAGAATAGGTATAGAAAAGGGATAGTAGTTCAAATGCTCAGCAACTTTCTATCCCAAAACACTGCATAGCAGTAAAATTGTTCAATAGTCACTTTACAAGGTTTCACCAAATGATAGCAAATATGTTTTAATAATAATCATCCTTGGATTTGAAACAGCGCCTTGTTACATCGTTGAGATATCTCAAAACGCTTCACGTTGTAAAGTGGATTGATTGTGTATTTTGTGGGCTGAACACGGCAGGCAACTGTGCACAGCAGTGTCCCACAAGCAGTTCGTGGATTGAGTGACCAATTTTTTTTTAGGGATTATTAGGGACATTTTAGGGGCAGGTTGTTGGGATCTGGAATGCATTGCCTCAAAGGTTGGTGGAGGCCGATTCCATAACAGCTTTTATGAGAGAAGCAGATAATTATTTGGGGAGGACACGTTTGCAGGGCTATGGGGAGTGGGATTGAATTGAATAGCTCTTTTTAAAGAGCCGTCACAGACACGATGGGCCGAATGGCCTCTTTCTGTGTTGTATAATTCTATGATTCTACAATTACCTCCAGAAAGCCATCTGCCAATTAACTAACAGTTCCTATTTACTGCTATGTAAACGGGCATGTGGAGTAAAGNAAAAACCTAAGATTTTGCCCCGCCCGGGAATCAAACCCGGACCCTCTTGCTAGCGAGGAGAGCGCTCTAACCTCCACTCTACAGGACTCCACGGCTCCGAGCTTAAACCCCAATGAAAGCCTGAAATGTAACAAGTGGCGTGACTCCTGGAGACAAATAATACAATAAAGAGACAGAGGACACGCTGAAAGATATAAATGGCAAGCATAAGCCTATGGAGAGCCTGAAGTGTAACGAGTGGTGGGCCGGAGACGAATAGCAGGACAGGATGAGCTGCTAAAATATACAAATTACAAGTATGGAGCTATCTCCATCTCAAAGCCTGAGCAAAGGAGGAGTCCTAGAGACCGAACCCCAGAGGGTTGTGGAGACACTCCGATTCCAGGTAGCTGCGACCGCATTCTGCAGAGGTAAGGACCGGGGCTGTCGCTCGCTCAAACTCAGAACGATACGTAAGTGTGGGCACTTTTATCAGTTGTGACGCCGAAAAGGAACGAGAGGCACATCAGCGACACGTGTCGTTGATATTGAGTGTGCGGTTTGAAGTCCTCTCGCTGGAGTGCCATCTCGGAGCATTAACTTGCACTCGAGCCCCTGCGCGAAAGCTCTGGGGCGCTATATAAAATGTAAGTGGTTGTCGATGATGAGCCTCGTGACAACCCCCAGCCCACACGCCAAGCTCTGCAGCACCTTTGCTTGCCCAGGGCAACAAGGCTGTGGCCAAAATGTTCTGTCCACCACCCACCCAGTGACCTCTTGCCTCCTCTCGCTCCATGACACGCGCTCTCTCATTGGTCTTCCATAACGATGTCACAGGGCGAGCGCTGTGAGAGCCAATTGGGGGGAGCGTTACAGTGGTTGTGGTGAGGCGATCGGAACCGCAACTCAAACGGCTTCCGGAAGGTTCGTCGGACGGCATAAGCGATGACAGTTGGTGTCACCAGTTGGAGACAGTGAAACGCGACGCGAAGAGGAGGTATTAATGTGATATAAATGTAAATGAAAAGAAAAGAAATGAAACGACGTTGTCGATGCATATGATATAATTGATGATGTAGCTCAGTGGTTAGAGCACTCGCTTTGCAAGTGAGAGACCTGAGTTCAATTCCAGGCAGAGGGCGAAACCTTGGGCAAGTTTCCTTACTCCACACAGAGCCTAATAATAATCCCTCCAAAACCAAAAACAATAATAAATTGGTCATTTTCAATCCACGACTGTTTGTGGGACATTGCTGTGCGCAATTGGCTGCCGCGTTCGCCCACAAATATACAGTCAATTCACTTTACAGTGTGTTCTGTGAAGCGCTTTGGGACGTCCTCCCGACGTGAAAAGCGCTATATCAAATGCAAGGATTATTATTATTAAATAATAAGAAGAATATTACTAATTTGATAAAGCCCAAATGACTTAAATGCCGCCCCAAAAAATTTTAAAAATTATTTTAGTTCTGTTATAGATCAGTTCTATCAGTATTGTTGGCCAGGACTACTCTTGACTCCTTGGACCACTGCTGTTCTGACCAATTGCCTGTCAGGCATCAAGCCCTGGGTGAACTCTTAATTTCCTTTGATTAATCGTTGACAAGACCGAGGCTCCTCTGGTTCCCTTCAGTGCCTTCAGGTGTGACGAGGGGTTGCAATCCCGGGAATTCCGATCCCGGGATCCCATGTGGTAAATGGTGCTCCCAAAATCCTGGGATTCATTGAAGAGAATCCTGGGATTTTGGGATTGTATAAAGCCTGGGCGGTAGGTGAGAGAGTCTCTTCCCAGAAGTAGACCGTGCATTGGCGTGAGGATAAGATGATGGGAGTGGACAGGCAGCTGTCTGAACCTCCCCAAGGAGGGACCCTCTCTCTTAAAGTGGGGGGATGGAGGCCTGGGAGGGTAGGAGGTTGGCAAAAGGCACGGTCGAATCGGTGGCTCTTGAGATGTGCCTTGAAGGAGGCAAGGGAGGGAGCAAGTTGAAGGGATTGTGGGATGGAGTTTCAAAGGGTGGGGCAGAGAGGCTGAAGGCCCAACTGCAGATGGTGGGGTGGGGCGGGGGCGGGCGGGGGACGTGGAGCAGGCTCGAGCCTGCTAAGCAGAGAGATCAGACGGTGTTATGGACGACTAACTCCCAGCAGGTCGAAACGTTGGGCAAGTTTCCTTACTCCACCTGCCTTTTGTTTACCCAGCAGTAAGCAGGAACCCAATTGTTGGTCGATTGCTGGATCGCTTTTCCAGGAGTAATAAACCCTTTTTAAAATTCTTTTTTAAAAAATAATAAATAAAATAATAATTTGGTCAATCAATCCAGGACTGTTTGTGGGACACTGCTGTGTGCAATTGGCTGCGGCGTTTCGCCCACAAAATATACAGATAATTCAGATTCTGTAAAGCGCTTTGAGACGTCTCGAATGCGTAATAAGTTTCTATATTAAATGCAAGGATTATTATTTATTATTATATGGAGTCAGCAGGTTACAGAGTTAGGAACGCAGTGGAGGGCTTTGAAGGTGAGGACGAGGATTTTGAATTCTCCTCTGGGGTATGGGGAGCCAGTGGGGCCGGGTGAGGGTGCGAGTGATAGGGATGTGTAGCCTGTTGCGGGAGCTATCTTGTTATTGAGCCAGCTCTGTATCAGAAAGACTTCACTTCCCTTACTTCTGAGTTTTGGCACTCATGATCTCTTGGATACTTCTCCCTCTCACTTCCACATTTCAACATTTAAAAAGCTTTGTTGTGAAGGTTAGCGATAGATCTGCAGCTATTTGGTGTTGGTAAGTAATAGTAATAATAATCCTTGAATTAGATAGAGAATGCAATATATTCACGGAATATATTGTGGGACACGGCAGCCAATTGCGCACTGCAGTGTCCAACAACATTCGTGGATTGAGTGACCAAATTCCCTGCTCGGGAATCAA